TTTCTGCTTCGTTTTTAACTGAAAATGTAAGTTTGGCTTAATCTTTAAATGTTGTTATACATTATTTCCTTTCATCAATATAAAGACAGCATATATATTTATATGTGTGCGCGCACGTGTGTGCGTGTGCGGACACACACACACACACACACACAAACGGACTGGGAAATGCACATTTGTGTAGCACTTGCTATGCACCAGGCACTGTATAGAGCTTTGTCCTCTGAACTCCCCGTGGATACAGGAGAGGAAGCACACACCCAGAGAGGCAAAGACGTCTACCCAGAGCCACACAGCCGAGGGCAGGGTCAAATGAGCTCCCCATGAAGTCACACCCCCATGTCTTCCCAGAAGCCATGGAGACACAGGGTACAAGGAGGCTGGGGACGATGAGCTGGTTTGTATACCTTGGTCCTGAAAAGAGCTGGCTTTCTTCCCAGAGTCTGAGACTCCACCCTGCCAAAGACCCAGCTTCAATCAGGCTCTTCTGGAATTCTCCCTAGGGCAGAAACCTGAGGCCAGGTGGGGTGGAAGCCTGTCTCCTCAGATGACCGTTACCATGGGCACAGCCACTCAAAGGGTTTAGCCGTTGGGTGTGATGCCAATCCTCCAGGCAGCTGGCCTGGCAGCCTGTGGGTGTGGCTTAGCCACCGCTGGCCAGGGGACTTCAGAGGCGGCACGGGGAGGGAGAGGGCATTAGGACTTGTTCACAGGGGTCTCTGGATGGCTGCTGGTGCGGGTGAAGGTCTCTGAGATGTGAATGAGTCTGTCCGAAGCAAGGACTATGATGATTTTTTTTTTTTTGGTGACCACAAGTATTCTGAACTTTCTTTGAATTTGCTATGTAGCTGAGGGTGACCTTGAACTTCTGATCCTCTTACTACCACCTTCTGAGTCTGGGATAATAGGTGTGTGCCAGCCACCACATCCAGGCTATGTGATGCTGGGGCTTTTGCCTGCCTTTGCTGAGTGCTCTAACAGCTGAACTATAGTTCCAGACTCGGGACCATGACTTGGAAGACACCACCACCACCACGCTATCAGGTCTGGCCACAAAGGCAAGTAATGCAGGTACCCATGTCTGTACCAGCAGGAAAGAGCCAGGCATTTATTAGGACAGGGAAGGGCACAGCTGTTTTCTGGAGTCCATAATAGGGCCTCCTTGAGCACCTGGCGAACAGCTGCTTACAGTATAAACTTGTCATTGTCTTCTCAGGAGTAATGAGACAGTTCCCCGTTCTTAGGACAGAAACCAAACCCTCATGGCTACACTCGGCACCTATAGGCAGCACATTCCCTAGACGGTCTGCCTCTGGCTACCCGGGCCTCTGTTTGTCCCTAAGACATGCCCACTCTTGTCTGAGACATGGCTCAGTGGTAGAACTTGCCTGACCAGGAAAGACAGAATGCTCCAATCTGTCCTTTCCAACTCCCTGACCTGTGCATTAGCTACTACCTGCCTCTCTCCAGATTTCAGAGAGCTCACCCAACACCCACGCCCCCTCCTGGTTTAAATCAAGACTCCCATAACACTACCCTGTCTTCCATTCCCTGCCTAGCTCCATGATTCTCCTCCTCTGCTCTGTGCCTGGGGGGTGGGGGGCAGGCACCTGTATGCCTTGTTGCAGGATTCCCTGAGCCCATGTCAGGGTCTTACACAGATTAGGTGCTCAGTAAGCAGGAGCCGAAGAACTCAGTCTACCAGGCAGTCATCTCAGACCAAGGAATGATATACTGTTAGTCACCAAGTAGCCATGACTTCTCCAGAGCTCAAGGCTTCACTGAACCCCTGCATGTGTGGTCTCATCCCAGGCCACGGACAGAGGACTGATGTCACTGCATAACCGGACAAGCACAAGGCTGGTCTCAGGGATTAGGTGTCCACTGCAGATTAACAGATTAAAGATGACAAAACAGAGGCCCCAGAGTCATACAACACACCTGAGGAGAGGCAGAAAGAGCAGCCAGATTACAGGACATGTTCTAGGCTGTTGGTTGCTTGGTTTGTTTTGAGATAGAGTCTCACTATACAGCCCTGGCTAGCCTGGAACTCTCTAGGTAGGTCAGGCTGGCCTCAAACTCAGAGATCTGCCTGCCTCTACCTCCCGAGTGCCGGGATTACAGATACACACCACCACACTGGGCTCCTGGGCTGTTCTTTATCGTTGTGTTACACGTGGCATGGGTTCTGCTGTGTGATTAAGAACAAGAAGTAGGGGCTGGGTTGTCCCTTCAGAAGCTCTGGTCAGGTGGCAGAATCACAATAAATAAAAAATAATAGCAAAGGTGAATGTTGCCCATCTGTGCATCAGACATTTTATTAAATTAAAAAAAATTATTTTACTGTATGAGTGTTTTGCAGGCGTGTGTGTACATGTGGACACCATGTGCATTACAGCGCCCACAGAGATCAGAGAGGGCGTCTGTCCCATGAAACTGGAGTTACAGGCGGTTGTCACCCTCAGTGTGGGTACTGGGAATGGAACCTGGGTCTTCTGGAAGAGCAGCCATCTCTCCAGCAATATTTATTTGTTTGTGTTTGGTTTTGCGTCAGGCATTTTCACACAGTACTGTACATAATCCTGAAAAACAGAGATGCTCCTGTCTCGTACACGTGGGGAAACTGGGGCTCAAGGAGGCTGACTGAAAGAGCCGCGGAACTGGACTGGCATCCAAGAACCGTCAGGTGCTGATAGCGCAGCAGCAGCGACATTAAAAGTTTCCTAGGATTCCTCCAAAGCGGAAACTGGCTGAGCCCGCCCACTGTGGGCGTGGCCACATGCGGGACAAGAAGGAGGGACTGGAAGATTCCGCCCCCTGGCTCTCCAGAAGCAGCACGTGCCGACAGCGCCACCTACCCGTATACGCGAGAACTGCGGGCACGGTTCCATTGGCCGAGCTAGGACCTGTGGGTACCGGAACCACGCGGGTGGGGGTGGTTTCGCCTAAGCTCAGTCACATCCCACACGCCCTCCACTTGGCGGTGCAGTTTTAACACTCGCCAAAGCAGTTCCAAAACGCTGCAGTCGCGTTGTAGATACTGCGGTAAGATTTAAACTTATGCCTGGTACGACCTCAGCGTTACACATTAGGAAACTGAGGCCTGAAGAGTGGAGGAAGCATTGGTCTGTCGTCGGTAACCAGCACTCGTTAGAATGAGTTTGAGACTAGTCATTTGAAATGGAGCAAATAGATCGAGGGCAAGCTCGGGGCTGTTGGAGTTTCTTGGCACTAAGGGGTTGGTTACCTACGGGGTTATTTGGGGGTTGCAGGACCATGGACTCACTGTCGGGGCATACAGTCAGGTGGAAGCTCCTTGGGGGGGGGGCTTGTTTTCTCCTCTGATGAGTGGGGCTCCCGATATCCCAGATGGCTGCGAACTGATGTATTAAAGCACTTTTGCTGGGCCTGGTATACAGGCTGTGTGCAAAGTGTGTGCATTCCCTCCCTGCCCGGGGCAGATCTCAATGCCCGGATGACAAGGATGAGCTAGCTGCCGGAGGGAAGGAGGCTGGCCCTGGGCAAGTCTCTCCCTTCAAAAAAGAAAGTGCCCACTGACCTCACTGTAGAACATCAGCGCTAGAAGGAAGACACAGAGTTCTCTTTGTTGGCAGAGTGTTGTGTTTCTAGGAAGCTCTGGCTCCGAAAGCAATTTCAGCGTAGTAAGAACAGCGGCATTCTGAGTTTGAGTGATATTAGAACACATCACCAAGTAGGAGACAGTTAAAAACTTGGTTCAGGCTTCTATCCCTTAGCCACATCTGAGGCAGCCTTCCAAATCGGGTATCTGGAGGCTCGAGCCTCGTGAGATGATCTGTAATTTTCCGGATGAAGCCCCAATGCCATAGTAACAGTGTGAGACACACACAGCTGAACCCACTCAAGGCAACGTCACCGTGTCTGTGTCCTGGAGTGTCCCATTCCTGCCCACACCCTGACTTCCTTGCAAGTTCTGATTCCTCAAGGTACACTCTGGGGGGGGGTGGCATCTACCCAAAGCCCTGACTCCCTCTGGGCACTGACCCACCTCTAGTGTACCCAGTCTGGAGAGCAGAGGTCAAGGGAAGCATTTTCCTCTCCTTGTCACTGTAGTATCACAGAAAGGGTCAGCATTTGGTCAGTGGGCTGAGCAGGAACCATGACAAATGAAGAATACACCCTTTTCTCCTTTCTAGCCAAGGGTGGTCATTTCTCAGTTTCTATTAAGAGTGATTCTGCTGGGCGTTGGTGGCGCACACCTTTAATCCCAGCACTTGGGAGGCAGAGGCAGGTGGATCTCTGTGAATTCAAGGCCAGCCTGGTCTACAGAGCGAGTTCCAGGACAGGCTCCAAAGCAATACAGAGAAACCCTGTCTCAAAAAACAAACAAACAAACAACAAACAAACAAAATGATTCTTTCTTCCCCTTCTCTCTTGCTCAACAATCTTTCTATGTAGCCCAGGCTGGCCTGAAATCACAAGCACATGCCACCATGTCTTCCTCCCGGGGTTTCAAAAGGAGTTACATATGTGACTTCTCTGTGAAATACAACCCAGTTACATTTTTTACAACAGAGGCCAGAAGAGAGGTCCTTGCAGGATTTGGCCTAAGGCTCCCTATTCTAGTGTGCTTTCTGTGGCTGTGGCCAAACCTCAGACCAAAAGTATCTTGGGGGATAAAGAATTCATTGGTCTCCCAAGTCATGCCCGGTCTGTCACAGAGTGAAGTCAAGGCAGGAACCTGGAGATGAGAACTGAAGTAAAGACAGCTTACTCCTTCCTTTCTTACATGGTGCAGGTCTCCTGCCTGGGGATGGTAACACTGAGGCAGCCGACCCTTCTGCATCAATTAGCAGTCAAGAAAATGCACCACAGATGTGCCCACAGGCCTATCAGAAGGAGCAATTCCTTAGCTGGGTTCCCTTTTCCCAGGTGTGCCGAGTTAACGCCTATGACACTCCCCAACTGTGACCTCTGATGCAGAAAACAATAAAAGAATCAAGAACCACTGAAGCATCCAGAAGACTTCAAAATATAGATTTATTTATTACGGATTATTTAATTTCTGCATAAAAATCACCAATTGTTCCTCATTGGGTTTTTTTTTTCCTTTAACACACATCAGGGTTTTTTTACCCTTATACTTTAAAAAATATAGCTCTTCTTAGCGCCAGAAGGACACTTAAGGCAGCAAGGCAGTTACTTGGGTCTTCAGAGCTGGAGGGCTCCTGTGACAGGCAGTTTCTTAGGTTGGAAAACCCGTCCCTGAAGAAAATAATTACGCAGTAGAATGCAAATTTGGTCACGTACCGTCACCTGTGTGTGCCTAGTCAATTGCTTGAAAAGGCTTGCTGGTACATTTCGGCTTAAAAAAAAAAACCTGTCTGACAGAGAGAGAGAGAGAGAGAGAGAGAGAGAGAGAGAGAGAGAGAGAGAGAGAGAGAGAGAGAGAGAGAGAGAGAGAGAGAGAGAGCAGCAGGGCTGGCAATGTTAGATGTGCTTGTCATGTGAGGGCTCCTGCCAGCTTGCTTTTTAAACAGACACCACAGCAGCAAGGACCCTGCTGAACTTCCAATCAGACTCCATTGTCCTCCAAACATCTAAGAGATCCTTGGGCCAGACAGACCAGGTTTCTTTGCTGGGTGAGGTGTATGCCTCCCCTGAGCTGGGCTCCTCCTGAACTGGGTAGGAGAGGAAGAGACAGAAAACCCTAGGAATTGATCATTAGCAACGTTAGTTGGTTTTGACCACATTGGAAGGAAGGTGTGCTCCATCTGGGTTTCTGAGGAAGCGGGAGTGAGTAGGTATTTATTGCTCCATTAGAATAGGCGAAAAAAGACAAGACAAAGAGAACGACCTCTAACAAGCTGAGGCTGCCACCTGCAGACCTAGGCTGGCCTGGCAGCTGGGCTGGGGACCCCAGCTCGATTCACAGTGATGCGGGGTTGGTTGCTCCCACTCGGGGCTGTGTGTCTGGGCGCCTACACCGTGTAGTCGAGCTCCGCGTTCATCTTGGTGTACAAGTCATAGATGGCGTCGATGGTGGCCGTGTAGTTGACCAGGAAGAGGCGGATCTTCTCCAGGCACTCCTCCTCTGTCACGTTCTGCCCCTTGGAGAGTGCCTTCAGGAAGTCAGACTTGTAGGGTGCTGCATACAGCGCTGCCTTGAGAGGAAGAGGGAAAGCAGGAGCACCATTAGTAGGACTAGACCAGGCTAGCCCACTGGCTCCAGGGGCGTGTGTCCCTGACACCTTGCTGGTGGTCTATCCGCTCACGTTGGAAGGGAAAAGAAAAGTGCGCCTTCCTTCTCCCTTTTAAGTACCCTGGTTTATGGGGTGAGGGGGGGTCACACATGATGGAGATAATAACTGCTTTGGGGCCTTGAACCTAAGTCACGCGCTGCACACTGTGCAGATAACTCCTTCCTTTCCTCAGAGATCCAGAGGTGTGAGAGATGAGGTGACGGTGACTGAGCTCAGGGAGGCAGGCTCCCAGGTGCCCACTTTTGTTTCTGAGACGGGACTCTGAGTGTGGCTCAGAAGGCCCGTGTCTGCGATCATCCTGGGAAGAGGCGCAGCTGCCAGGCCAAGGCGGAGCCAGGACCTTGAGACCATCACAGGGCGAAGCATGAAACAGCGCCCACTAGCGGTGCACTCTCGGAGAGTGGGTTGCCCGAGATGACCCCTCACACCCCTCCCCGCCATGGCCAGGTTGAAGGCCCAGAGGTGGCCACATTTCCTGTCTCATGATCTGTTCTTCCTGCTTGGACCCAGCTTGCCTTGGGATCCTTCCTGTCAGAACCTGGGCTTCCTGGGGAAGGAGGGGTAGTCTGATGAGGACATCGTGAGGGGCAAGATAGCTGGGGACATTTGGGAGGCCTTTTGCTATTCCTTAAGCCTCCCAGCCTGATGAACCTAGGGCCTCTCAGGTACCCAAGTTGGCACAAGAGCCCTTTCCAGGAACTGTGGTCAGTATCACCCCAACATAGGCCACAGCACACCGAGGGCCGGGGTGTTCACAGCAGCAGGACCCTCCCCTTGGGGGCAGGACCCTTCTTCCCCTCTGTGCCTGGGGTGAGAGGGAAGCCAATGAGGGCCAGCCCGCCATCACCCCACGGTTGTTGAGTCTGCAGACCTGACTCTTCTCTCAGCCATGGAACCAACAGGTCAAGGGGACTGCAGGGACACTAAGGAGCACCTGCGGCCACATACATGGTTGGCCATGATTGCACGAGGGCCTCTGCATCAGGCCATCCCATTGGGTGAGCCTGCCTGGGATAAGCAGGGCAGTGGGCAGGGCCCAAGTCTCCGGGTCCCCGGGGCTCACCTTGAAGATTTTCTGCACTAGCCAGCCATGGTATTTCTTTAGGGCCATCTCATAGGCCTTGTTGGCGTTTACTCGGATGAGGTTGGGGTGGTTCTCATCCCGTTCCCCGTCACAGATACTCTGCAGGAACACCTGGATGAAGCGCAGGCCCCTGTGGGCCAAGGGGACAGTCATTTAGGACGGTGGCCCATAGCAGTGCACGTACAGGGGAGGGCCTCCCCAGGTGACCCTGGTCGGCTCTGCTTCTGAGCAATGTGAAGACCCAGCTCTGGTGCTACGTGCCACTGGAGCCTATTCTGGGTCCCTGCAACCTCTCGTGGCGAAAGGGATGAAGCCAGCATGGCCTTTGGAGGGTTCAAGGGTAAAGGATAAAGCCAGCATGGCCTTTGGAGGGCTCAAGGGTAAAGGATGAAGCCAGTGTGACCCTCGGAGGGTTCTAAGGCCAGGGATATGTCAGGCATACTGCCTCCCGGGCTATTAGCTTCCACTGCACAGTGACCCTGGCTAAGGGGCTTCATGGGGCCCTGAATAGAAAACAAGGCCACAGCCAGTCCTGTGGTGTGGTTTAAGACAACAGAAAGGTCCCCAGAGGTTCCTACGCTGAAGGCTTATATGTGCCGAAGGAAGTAAGTCCGTAGTGACTTCCTGTTTCCTGTCAGCCATGAGATGAGTAGCTTCTTCCTCACAGTGCTGTTTGGAGGCTGTCTTGCCTCTCAGTGGGCCTAGAATCATTGAAGCTGACCCAGGACTGAGCCCTCAGAGACCGTGGGCTAAAAGGAACCCTTCCTTTCCATCTGGCTCATTCTGCCATGGCCACAAGAGTGTAATTCACATGGGCCCCATATCATACTCCCTTCAAACAGGGAGCAGGGCACTGAGAGCGGGTCTCCGTCCCAGCTTGTCCTGACCGGAAGCTTCTTCATATGACAGGTGTCCAGCATACTCCATCTGTGCTGGGCTCCAGAGCCAGCACCGCCTTCCCAGTCGCCCATGGGTCCACAGGTGACTTAGATATGAGGCGCAGCATCACCTGCCTGGGTAAATGGGCTAGGGGCTGTCCCTCAGTCCAGGCCTTCAAAGCCTGCTGACAAGGTGGGGCAGTGTGCCTGGGAGCAACCACCCAGCCTTTGGGAAGCTAACTTCCCCAGGCCCAGTTCACCAGAGAAGCAAGTGTTGGGGGCTGGGAGATGGACTTTGGGTGACAAGCTGTCTTCCTGGGTCCTGGCCCAGGCCCCTGAGATGTCCACAGTGGGAAGTGATGGAGGGTAGGGCAAGGGTCCCTGGTTTCTTAGTGGCTACTGGAATCACACAGCTAGAGAATTCTGGAGCTACTAGCCCACTGAAAAGACTCAGGAAGGACACACCTGTGCAAACCCAAGAGCACTCCTACTGTGTTTCTATCAAGAGAGTCATAACACGCAAATCCACTGTGCACGCAGCACACCACCTGTCCCACTGCAGAAGACCCGGATTGTGACCCAGATGCTGCTGCGTCCTCCGTGAGATGGGGAGGTGCCACATCTAACTCACAGTGTGTGATATTCTATCGGGTCCACAAAGAACTGAGACGGAGACCAAAGCTGGAAAATGCACTCCCCTGCTTTCTCTGGAGCTAGAGCAAGGCAGCGCCACCGTGAATCTGTCATTCTTGGGAAGTGTCTTGTGGCTATTAAATGGCAGTGCTGGCACGCTCCACCCGACATGGCTCAGCCCCGCCCTGCTCCGCCCCCCCCCCCCCCCCGCCCCCAGCCCATCACCCGACATGGCTCAGCCCCGCCCCGCCCCCAGCCCATCACCCGACATGGCTCAGCCATGCCCCGCCCCCAGCCTATCACCTTTTTAGCCACAGCAGTGCCAGTGTGGCTCCCACTTTGGGCCACTCTGCTCCATACATTCCCTTCTCCACTTCCAGGATGTTCTGCAGGGTCCTGTACTTGGCTGGGTCAGTGTCGTACACGGCTTTGATTTTCTGGAACAGAGCACAGACGCTCTCCCGTCACAGGCTGCCCTGCAGACAGCTTCCGCACACTGGGCAGAGTGTCCCACCCTACAGGCACTGCCACCCACCTGCCCAGGAAGCTGGGCCCCTGAAATGCTTCAAGTGCCTCACATAGTCCTTTTGGAGATCCTGACCCCACTCCCAGAACCCAGTCAAGGGATTAGGACATTGAGGCTGAGGGGTCAAAGGCCACAGGTTTGGGACAGGGAGTGGGTCCTAGCCTGCTGGCTCCAAAACCCATGTCTTCCCACTGCTATCGACACTGTCACAGACATCAGAAACCTGAAGTCCCACGGTGAATGGACACAAGCAAAATGGTTCAAAGCTATGCACACAAAACAGCCCCTGAACCGGCTAGTCAGTCTAGCCAGGCTGGCCAAGTCTGAATCCCACTGAATTGCGCCTGTCACTCTCTTGCTGTGTGACCTTAAACTGGTCATCAACCACTCTGAGCTTCAAGCTCCTCATCTGTGTGAAGGCAGTAACTCACACAGCAGGACCAGGCTCACAGTTCCCTAGGTTGGAGAAGTGAGACCGTGCAGCGGATCCCAAGTCCGGTGCCACCCCGAGTGTGCCTCTCCCCAGAAGCACCTAGCATGGAAGAGCCAAGATGGCGCCACCATGGACTTGACTTCTTGTTCTTTTCTTGGTGGTGGGATGCCTGACGAGATAGCCTAGGCTAGCATGGATCCTTGGTACTCAGCCTGAGTGCTGGGGTTACAGGACTGCCTGCATGATGATGCTTAGCTGAAGGGGTGTGTGTATGAGAGGACAGCTGTGTGCGAACACATATATGTGTATGCATGTGTGTATGTGTGTGTGGACACATGTGAGTACCAATGGAGGCCAGAAGAGGGCATTAGATCTCTGGAGATGGAGTTACAGGCACTGGAGAGCTGCCGGTGTTGGTGCTGGGATGAAACTCCAGGCCTTTGAAAGAGCAGCAAGCACCCTTGACCACTGGAGCAATCTCACCAGCCTTCCACCTTAACTTTTTTAAAGACACAGGCTCTCACTGGCTGGCCGATGACCAACAGGAATCCACCTCTCTCCACTCCTTCAGCACTGGGGTTATTCTTGGGCTGCCCAGTGACACTTTTCAATAGGTTTTGGGGTCCTAACTCAGGCCTGCATGTTTGTAAATCTGCTGAACTATTTCCCCATGTCTGGAGTTCTTGTTTGGTGGAGGGGGTGGCAGAGTGTCTGGCCAACCCTGAATTGTGTGTTTGCAAGGGGGCACTGAGAACCTTGGCCCTTTGGGGGAGGGACAAGGACTCCATGCCTTCTTCCCCGACCTCAGGTGGGAACCAGGCAGGGGTGGGTTCAGACTTACCGTGATGTTCCCACTTATGTCCGCCTTGATGGGTGTGAACACTGGGGATCCAAGGCAATCTGGGAATAGAATGAGAAGAGATTTAAAGAGACTTAGATTCCCATCCTCGATGGCATTCAGAACCATCGCAGGCCGTGGAAGACAACACCCGTGCGTTTAGGGGCCAGGAAGAATTGTTTGCAGGTGTTTGGAGGGTCCCGTGGTCAAGTGAATTGAGGGGGTGCTGGGCTCTGGATGAGAGCAGGTTGTCACCCCCAGAACTGGTCAGGGCCTCTGAGGGCTGCTGGAGTTGCTCTCCTCATCACGGCACCATCCAAGAGAACTCTCTACAGCGGTGGAAATGGCTAGACAGTCTGCACTGTCTAGCTGGTGACCTGGGACTTCACTTGTGCCCCCTCACTTGGCAGGGTAGGCTTGGACACTGCCTTTCATCTGAGCTTCAAGTTTCCCACCTTGTGAGCAGGACAGGTGTGTGACGAGCAGCCCCAGACACACATGCTCTTCACCCTGGGGCCACAGTGCTTCCATGTGGAGGTGGGAACCTTTCTTGGCAGGTCCCGGTAGAATGGGGTGCAGTACAAGCAGGGACACCTTCGAGCAGATGGCACACGGACCAGGAGACACCTGGTCATGCGTGCTTGGAACCCCAGGCTCCACGTGGGGTGTGAGTTCCGCTCCTGTCTCTTCTGCCCCTCCCGGCTGCTTCGCTCCTCTTGGCACCACAGCCAGAGAGTCACACCAGCCAAAACTGCTCGTGGAGGAGGGGTGCAGGCCTGGGGCGTCACCTTCCAGCACTGGCCTCACTGTCAGAACCTGGGCAAAGATGTCGTGCTCCCCTGACACCTTCTTCCTGCTGGGAAGTGAGCTTGCTAAGTCTGACTCAGAGTCAAGGGCACAAGGACACTCTAGTGGGTCAGAACTGGCGTTGAACCGACAGAAGGGAGGCGGACAAGGGCTTGAGGACTTCCCTAATGGCCACAGGGGAAGAACTTCTACAGGTCAAATCCCAGTGAAGGTGACCGGCACACATGGCTGGCCATCTAGAAAACTCTTTCACTGCTGACATGAAGAGGTGTGTGCTGGAGCACCTGTGGTGACACATCCCAGACACAGTGGAATGATGGATGAGGAACCAGATAGGTGGTGGTGAGATCTGCCCGGCATCCCTCCGTGAGACATCTCCCAAACCACATGCCTGTTTCCTCCCGTGTGAGCCAGGGAACTCAGTGCTTAGGACTGGCACACAAATTAGGGTTTGAAATGCACCAACCAGGCCGGTGGTACGCACCTGAAACCCCCATACTTAGGAGGCAGAGGCAGGAACACTGAGAGTTTGAGGCCAGCCTGGGCTACAAAGCAGAGTCTCTGGAAAGAAAACAAGAAACAATGATGTATCTGGGTTGGGGACATGGCTCAGAGCAATGGTGGCAGAGCCACTGGGTGGCATGTGTGAGGCCCTGGGTGCGACCCTCATCACCAAAAAAAATTAAGGGCCAGAGAGATGAGTCAGTGGCAACCTTGGTGCCAAGCCTGGAGACCAGAGTTCAATCCCTGGGACCCACATGGTAGAAGGGAGAACAGATCTCCACAGGTTGTCGTTTGACCCCCCACTCAGGTGCCATGGCTCACACACACACACATGCTCACACAAATAAATGCAATAATCAATTTAAAAGAAAAATACTTTGGACCTACTTAGCAGGGTGCCCCGCACAGGGCAAAGACTGGGAAAGGGGCACTGATCATTCTATGACTCTCTAGTTCTAGGGTCGGGCTTCTTGACCTATCAAATCTCCCCAAACCTCTGCAAGTGCAAACCCCGCTGCACCCCATGCTTCTCTCTTTCTGAGAGACAGCATTGTATAGCCCGTGGTCCCCCTGCCTCAGCCTCCATACTCCGGGATGACAGGTGTGTGCCACCACATCCAGCCCACTGAGGTCCCTCATGCAGGGACTGCCCCAGGTAGCATTGAGCCGGTCTCTGTGGTGCCCATGAAGTGGGTGAATGGACTCTCCTTGCCACTCACTGAAGCCGGTGCTCACTAACCGGACAGGTATCAAGCTCCAAGGATTCTCTTGTCCCCACCCCTTCCCCATACAGACAGACCAGGTGTCATTTTGCCCCCTTGGGAGCCAGGCATTCAAACTCAGCTTCATGGTGGCACAGTAGGCACTTTACCAATGGTGACATCCTCCTCCCTCTTTGTCTATACTCTTTTCTTCTTTTAAATATTATTTAACTTTATTTTATGTGCGCCAGTGTGAAGGTGTCAGATCCCCTGGAACTGGAGTCACAGACAGTTGTGAACTGCCATGTGGGTGCTGGGAACTGAACCCAGGTCCTCTGGAAGAGCAGCCAGTGCTCTTAACTGCTGAGCCATCTCTCCAGCCCCCTTGTCTGAACTCTTCAGCATAGTTCAGATGACCCCCAAGGGTTAGTTTTAAGCACCCACCCACCCAAGATAGCAGAGGGTCTGTATAGCAACTTGGGCTTTGGTCTTCCTCTCTGTGAAGTGAGACTAGGACTCCCGTGCAGGGCAGGGCTGCTGAGAGGGACATACGGGCTGCACACAGGTGTTGAGTGGTCACAGCCTTCAAAGGGAGATGCCGGGAAGCTGGGCTGGACGGCAGAGCATGGGCAGCTGCAGGCTGATGTGGGACACGATCGCTGTGGTGTGGTGCTGAGCACACACCCTGGTGGCAGGAGAAAGGGCTCATTGTTTGCCATTCTCCTGACAGTGCGACAAGGGTCACAAAGCCACTGGCTGTGGTCAGCGGGCACTGTCCCCACAGCAGCAGTCATTGTGTATGGCTGATAGCTGCTCCCGGGCCAGGGTGCCTATTCTGCTGTGGGGGAAGGGTGTGGTGGGTGGAGGCAGAAGCTAAGGCAGGGATTGCAGGCTCCATGAGGGCCTTTAAGAAAGAGAGTGCATGCTGGACCCTGATGCTGGAGAGTCATGAGTTCTAGGCTAGCTTGGGCTACCCAGTGAGACCCTATCCCAGAAAGGAAAAGATGAGAGTGTTGGCCAGGGTGACCCCAGGTAGATGGGCAGGACAGGCCTGGGATGGTGTGTCCCATGCTGTAGGCCAAACAGGCCAGTAGCATGTAGAAGGTGGGCAGCGTGGCTAGTGGGGACGCTGCCTGTCACTGGGTGTGAACTGTGACTCTGAAATGGCTTTGACAAGTGACTGAGTGTGAACCCTTCACTTCCTGCAGTCCAGAGGTGCTTTGCTGAAAGAAGAGCTCTGAGGACAGTGGGCGGGGGTCTGCTTTCCATGGCTTACATGGGGACCACAGTAGAGAAGCCAGATGACTCAGATGGGAAACAGGGCCAAAGTAACCCACTAGCCCACGTTAGCTTTCTAGAACATACCTGCTGGTGTGAGCTCAGAGAGGGCAGGGCCCCGAAGCATGGCTTGAATCCCCACGCTCATGGTGGCCTTTCTAATAGTTAAATCCCTGCTGGTCCCCACCCAGTCACCTGTTCCCACAGCCTATCAGCTTAACTGTTCCCCCAGAATGCAGCCGGCCCACAAGCACACAAACCACCTTTCTCGTTTGACTAGTTCTGCAGTTCCCTCAAACTCGTTCTGCCTCTGCCTGGAGGGGGAGGGCACTTGATGGTTTTCCAGTTTGTCCTGTAGCCCGCAAAGGAAAGGGAGCAGCCTTTGACACCAGGAAGGTCCACAGTGCCACCACCTCCTGCCCCACAACCAGCCCCAACAGGCAGGCTGCATGGGGAGAGCTGTGGTTTTCTCAGAACACGGGTGGAAGCCCTCTTATGCCTAATAAAGGTTTTTTCCCCCTTAACCCAAAAGGATAAGAAAAGGTCATTAAATCTGATTACAAAACCCAAGTGCTTCTTATAAGAGGCTATCAACAAAGTGGGACAGGAAGCAGAGAAAAATCAATAAAGGCTGTTTATTATCCCAGATATGTAAAGAGTACTTACAGAAAAATAACAAAAAACATTCTTTAGAATGAATAACCCACAGATGAAATAAAAAGATGCTTCATCTCAGTGATAAGGAAGACAAGTAAAATGGAGATGTTTCTATCAACTAAGTAATTTTATGAATATATCAGCTACTAGCTTCACCATTCTGGAAAGCATTTATTAAAATGTAGCACATGGGTTGCAGAGATGGTCAGCAGCTAACAGCACTTGCTGCCCTTCCAGAAGAACTGAGTTCAGTTCCCAGCACCCCTGTCAGGTCACTCACAACCTCCTCTAAACTCCGGTATCAGGGATCTGACTTCCTCTGAGGGTAACACTACACATATAACATATTAAGACACATATACATATAAATTAAAACCATCTGTAGCCTTCTAAATAGGGTCATCATAAAGAATATAAAGGGGTATCCTGTTGATGTCACAGTCTCCCTCAAACCTTCACCATGGGGCACTATATTGAATATCTTCCATCTTTTTAAAAGCACCTCCGGGCTGTTGATGGATATATTTTTCCTGCTTTGCCTGCTGAGTCCAGTAGTTGCTGGGAGAACAAATAGCAAAACAGCAAACTGTTAAAACTACCCGCAAAACAAAAGGAAATGGGAACCAGGAGGGGAATTCATGTGTACCTTCTGGGACAAATGTACCTGGACAGGGGCCACCTGGGGCTTCCTGCCTGGGTCTCCACCACTGCCCAGATGTATGACATTGACCAGAAAGCAGAATTGTCTGTCCGCCAGTCAGCCTGTCACTACATGCCACCCAGAAACACTCATTTCCTCCTTCAGCACAGCTGAACACATATCACTGTACTCAGCCCAGCTGGGGCGTGGCTGGGTGTCACGGGCAGTGCTTGCCAAGTGTGTGCAGGCGTGTGCAAGCCCTGGGTTCCAGCATCGAGATGTGGTTGTGCGTGCCTGCAGCCTTGGCCCTTGGGAGGCTGAGTTCAGGTACTTGCTGTAACTTAGCAACTGACTGAGTTTCCCTTCGCTCCCTATCCAGAAAGGATCACAGCACACATCTGGAAATTTCCATCCTAGATTCCAGATGTGTTTACTGTTTTCCTCTCTCTTTGGGTGTCTGTCTGTGTGGGTGCAA